CTGAGGTAAACAAAACAAATAGTTGTGTATGTGAACTGGGACAGTCATTTAAAAAAGGTAGAGTTCTGACTGTGTGCCTGCCTGCCCCTCTGTCTCTCCCTTCTTCCCTCCCATTTTCAGGACAGACAGGCTGGCAGCATCACATTCCTAGGTCTCTGAAACACCCCTTCTGTGGCCCTCCAGAGCACCTTCATCTTGACCTTCAATCCCACAGGCCCGTCTCCCCTCCTCCTAGTCTGACCTTCACAGGGACCCCTGGCCCTCCTGCAGGGAATCTGATATGTTGGCAGAAAATGTCCACTTCTGGGCCCATCCCAGACCTTCCAGATCAGATCCTGGAGGAGAGGCAGAGAATCTCTTTTAAACACGCACCTCCGGGATTCTACCATCCACTGAGGTCTGAGGCCTACTCTCTGCTTGCCGTGTGACTTCTGTGATCCTGTTAGGAGCTCCCCAAGTCGCTTGCCATGTCACTGTTCTTACACACCCTAATAGCTGAGGCCATGCACCCTTAAAATTTACTGGATTACTGTAACAGCCTCTAACTGGTCTCACTGCCTCCTCCATTTGGCCTGCTCAGCTGTAGTCACAGATTCACACCAGCTCCTTGCCGTCCTATACCTGAAACCCCACATGACAGCTCCAAATCTCTTCACCTTCCTTTAGCTCCTAACCGCACCGCCCTCCAACGGTGATTAATGAACGAGGAGTTTGAAAGCAAAAGCAACTTGGCTTCTTTGTAGGGGCAGAGGTCTTTGTAACTTGGTCTTAAAGTTTTTATACTTAAATGATTTTTACCAGCTACTTTAAAACTCACTCTGTTCTTTCAATAGAATGATATGCCTTATAGAAGGAGAGATACTGCTTTTAAGTTCTTAATAAGATAGACTCTTGGGGGCTAAGGTTTCTTTGCTGAAAATAATTTGGAAAATAGGGAGAAAGTTATTTAACGTCTGACCCAGACAAGTTCTTTATACTTGCTGTTGATGTATAAAACCAAAAAGATCTCCTGTGATAGGTCAGAACAGATGTCCTGGTTATTTATTATCAAAGGAATCACACAATACACATCTAGTATAATTAGATGTCCTTGTTATATATGGACTGGCCCAGTTCAAATGCATATTCTCATTCTCTCTCCCTCTATATTCCCATAGAACGGGGTCCGTGCCTACCCAATAGCCCTTACTATGTTCTACCTTGTGGTGTAGTTATTTGATGCACGTAACCACAGGATGAGCTATACTGAGGGCAGGGACTCTTGTTCTGATGTAGTGGGAAAACTTTGGGGCATTGAGCTCAGAGAAACCAGTACTGAAATCATTCTTTACCAAATCCTTGGGAAAGTTCTATGGCCTCAATTCAAGTTCCCTATATAACACGTGTAAAGGGTCTGGAGAGCTGCCTTGTGCTGTCCTTGATTGTGTGTTTTCAGCCCTGGCCCTGGGCTTTGCGTATCCAGGGAGCAGTGAAGGTACAGGCTTGCTGCACAGGCCAAGGGAAAAATCAAATCAATATATGCTTTGAATCAGTGGATTAGCAGAATGTTTGCAAAGATCAGTCTATAAGTTAATAATGTAACAATCTTTTGAGAGGAGCAGTTGTATTTTAGACCAAATAATGAAATAAATAATAATGGGACTGATAGTTCTGCTCACTTTTTAAATTTGGGGGCTTTATACTTTTAACATAATTTTTTTGGTTTTCAACTTACCACTATTTTTGTGCCCATTTTTTAAAGAACTTAACATTAATAATACATTCTGTACTTCCCTATGGACTTTTTAAAGTCCCATAAAAAAGATACTTTATAAGGGGGAAGATAAAAGGGAACTGTCTCACCTTTGCATAGACATATAAAATATGAGCACTTCAGGCAGCAGGCATGTATTTTTTTAGATGTTTCTTTATTTCTTCCTTATCAGTACCATTTTTATCATCTTGATTGTGTTTCTTCCTTGAGTCTTCAGCCCTGTCTGACATTATACTGCCACTGGTTGGGGTTCTTCTGAACTTTCCACATGTTGCTTTCTAAAATCTAGACAGGGGTTTGTCAGAGCTCAGCACCCCCTTCTGTTGTCCCATGTTTGTGATATCTGTAGGCTCTCAATTGTTAGTTGGAGTTAGGACCCACCTAGACTTCTTGTCGTTGCTGCATTCTTGGCAGTGCCCACACCTCAGCAAGGCAGGATAAACAATCTGCCTCCAGTAGATGGAGGCTTCCAGGCTGATGCCTGGTGGTGGAAGACTCCCCCCTGTATTGTTGTATTTATACCTTTGTACCAGATTTGAAATTTGTAATAAAAAACCATCATGAACAGCCCACATCTGGCTGGGTGATTGCAGTGTGTAGTCTGGGCTACTATCACTTCTGTTTTCTTCCCAGTGTCTTCTATGACCTTGATGACCATGTAGTTGTAAACCTTCTTGTTTACAGAGAGCTACTTCTCTACCACTCTTCTGTGTCTCATCTCTTTCTTGTATTCCAGGCATGAATCCCACCTACCAAGCCTCAGTTATGCTTTCTAGACTGTAGTGCCTCCTGACTGCCAGCCTATTAGCAGTATGAGCATTAATGATTCCCGTCCTGAAGCCCAGATCTTAACTGAAGTCCAGTATAGTATTAAATCTTAACAGAAAAGCCAGCTTATCAGGGTCTTCCCATTCAGATATGGCCATGTTCTAAGAGAGATTGAGAGAGAGAGAGAGAGAGAGAGTATGTGTGTGTGTGTGTGTGTGTGGCGCGCGCACACACACACGCAGTTTAATGCTCTGCCACAAAACCTGGGTTCTAAAACAAGATTGGCACCTATTTGTGTTTAGTTTTGTTTTTTCAGTGTATTAGCCAAACATATCTGGTGACAGTCAGAACTAGCTATGGTGGCCCACTGTGTGAGCCAGTCCCCCAGCACTGGGTCAGTCAAGTTGGGATGTTCTCGGGTACCATCACTGACAAAAAGAAGTTTGGAGAAAAGGAAAGTGGTTAGTGTGGTAGTTTCCTAGACAATGTAATAAATTTAAATAATTACTGTTCTTTCTTGAAATCAGTTAAGTTCTTAAGTCTTATAAACATGATGGGAATTAGGACCACATCCCTATTCGGTGAGGAGAGAAGAAAAAAAGACTAAATTGGCAGCTTGCTATATTTATCATGTTTGTGTCAACTTTTGCTTGCTGTTTAAAGACACTAAGGAATGAAGTTGCTGTCAATCACTATACAAAGAGATGCTTTGAAATGGTGCTGCCTAGAACGGGAGCTAGAGACTGAAGTGCCCCACCACCCATGAATGTGCCCAAAAGAACACAAAATGTCTTGTGCAGAGTACGACTGCTCCATGTTATTTGCGATAGCAAAGAGTTTGAAACAACCCAGTGCCCATCAGTAGGAGATGGCTAGCTCCGTGCTGGCTCACCCACACAGCGGGGTCTGTGCAGCTGTTAAAAAGAGCGAGGAGAGGCTCCAGACAGGGACACCGTGTGATCTCTGCTGTGCAGTTACAAAAGCCTAGGGGCAGAGCAACGTGCATAGCGAGCGACTTTTTGTGCAAGAAGGGGAGGGCTGTAGGTATTTTCAAGGAGAGACAATACAGTAAATAACTAAACACTAATAAAAGACATATGGGGGAGGAGGGACGAGGGTAGAGGAGAGCAGGAGGGAAGCAAGGCGAACCTGAATACAGTCTGACGTCAGAATCACGTAAAGTTTTGATGTAATCAAAAAACAAATTACATCCAATAAAGCACCCCCCCTCTCACCCCCCTCAGCCCCCCCACACACAGAATTTTTTTTTAAAAAGGAAACAAATGAACCTAATTGTACCTTGTTAGTGACATAACCAAGTAAAATAATTTTCCTGACTGGTCTTGGAACCCAGTGTCATTACTGTATGTCCTCATGAGCCACACTCTATAAACAAAAATAAAAGCAGAGACTTCAAGGTGGAGGCAGCAATCTTACTATTAAAAATTATGTTCACATGGCTAGGAATTAAGATTTTCCATGTAAGAGTTAAGGTATAAACATAAAAAACAAAAATTATGGTAAAAAAAAACCCTGTACACTTAAATTTGAGTTTGATGTATTAACAAGATCATAGTCATCCTGTTACAAAAAGCATACATGTGTCTGACATCTGGCCAATGAAGAGCTCTGGGAAATGATGGAAACCCGGTAGCACTGAACACTCCCAGCGCCCGGACCGTAGCTGTTGAAGATCATTCCCCGCTGAAAGAATCAGAGGTCCATAGGTCCTTGGTGACACGTCCGGTTCTATGACTGAGAAGGGAAGGGTTCCCATTGGCTAGAGATGCGTTAATTGACTACAACTGAACATGTAAAAAATCTGTGCGTTGTAATGATATTAAAGCAGTGGAAGGACCACAGCCACCCCTGCATCACTGCGCTGTTGTCACCTCAGGAGTCTGGGACTGCTTTGAGTGACAACAGGGGATATGTAACTGACTGTAAATTATGGAAAAGGGTCATGATATAAATGCAGAGTTGGAGTTCAGGTCTTTCGCCCATCCTCTGCCCTTTACAAAAGGCTTGGACCTGACCGCAGACTGACCCTCACTGTGACAGGAAATATATTCCTTCACTCCCAGTTGCCAGCACTGTGTCTCCAGCAGAGCTGAGACCCGCCTTTGTGATTCCACATCCAGGGTCTGTCCCAGCTCTTCTTCCTGCTCCCCCTACAGCCGTCATTCTCTGAGCCTGGCTGAGCCACAGACGCCTCATCCCTGCAATGAAGAGAATGTCCCATGTGACCTGTTCACCCTGCAAAACCACAAGGGAGGGTTGCTGGCCTCTGTGAGGCCTCCTGCCGTGTAGACACCACAAATTGTCAGTGTTTTCCCAATTATTGCATTCTTACACAAGCACAGTTATGAAATTCCACCGGTGGTTGGACTTCTGGCTACACCTAGAAAAATAAATCCCACCGACTCACTACCCCAGATTGGATGAAGAGTAAAATCCTTTGTCTTCCTGTGTCTTTCAGCCATGGAGTTCCATGAACACCTGCACAGCATCGGCACCAAGGAAGGTTTGAAGGAGCGGAAACTGCAGAAGGCAGTGGAGAGCTTTACCTGGAACATTACCATCTTAAAGGTATCCAGCTGGGTTGTTTCTGATGCTCTGATTTTGCAGTCTTTTTTGGCATGTTTCATCTTTTGTAGTATAGCGTTTCCTGCATCATACATTATTAGTCGCAGAGGCTGTAGCCTGGTCACAGAAACCCTCTGCCTTTCAGAGTGTCTGCAGGCACCACAGCTGGGCATGCGGCTTGGAGGGAGGCAGGGGATGCCAATGGTTGGCACTGGGTGGTGTCTGATAGGAAGGGAAAGGACCTGCATTTCACCTTGAAAGCACTGTAAAATTCAGTTGCCAATTGCTATATGTGAAATAGAAAATATTGGTTATAGAGGAGTGATTTGGAATTTAAAGATTCTAATTATGCAAATTTCATTTAACACCTTAAAGAATAATCACAGATTTACTATGATCCCAGAAAAAAATGGAAAAGAGTTGTGTGGGACTTAATCAAAAGAAATATGTAAAGGATTACCATTTGAAAGACATTTTCCTTCTATCTGCTTTCCTTCCTTCCTTCCTTCCTTCCTCCCTCCCTCCCTTTGTATTTTTAAAATTTAACTTTTATTATTTTATATTATAAAGTAATAAATTTTCATTGTAGGAAATGCCAAAGTAGTAATAAGCAAAGGCCAGCATCGCCCCGCCTTGCAGAGGCTGTTAACGATGGCCTTCTGCAAATGTTGCCATTCTTTTTCCTCTTTGTTCTATATACCACAGCAAGATTTTTGAAATATTGCTATGAGTTACTGAGTTGTGTCTCAAGTGCCTTTGCTTTTCTTCTCGGTATTTGGGAACTTCAGTAATAATAACATAGAAACATCATTTCACTGTGGATCTTGGACAGCTGGATGTCAAATTACCCTCTGGTGTTCACTGTCCAAACTTCCTGCTCAGTCAAATTCAAAACCGTAAGGACATTGTTGCAGCTGCCCCTTTTCATGTCCTTGTTTCCCATAAGTTGAAAGATCCATCCCTACAGCCAACAACAGTTTTCTGGATTTGATTTAATGAAAATTTGTCCTTCCAAGGCTAGCCAACTTGCATTTTCTCACATTAAACCTCTACTCATTTTTATAATTAAAATCATTTTCCTGGCTTCTTCAAATACTTCCGTTCCTACACATGTACTTTCTAAAAACATCTCCGTTATCTTCCGCTTAGAATTTAACCCTAAGAGTTTGAGGTTCAGTAAACAGCAGAGAGAAGAATTTACAATGAAAAGGAGTTTGGTTTTGCATCTTGCTGACTCACTCCTGACCAGAGGTGGGGGACCACCGCAATTTCCTGTAAACTTCAGGGAAAAAGCTGCATGGTAGTTACAGCCTGAGACAGAAACAAATGCTTTGTTTTTATTTTATTTTGAACAAAAACAGGCGTAGGGACCAAACTTTTCCCTGTTAACTATTCTTGCGCTTCTTCTGTGTTCACGGGACCAGCAGCCTAGGCATCGCTTGGGAGTTTGATCAAAATGCAGACTCCCAGGTCCCACTCCAGACTTCCTGAATCAGAATCTACATTCTTACCAGCCCTCAGGGGATTCTTATGCACATTAAAGTTTGAGAAGCCCTGGCCTAAGAGCCACGGAAAATGGGAGCCTGCCACACATTCATGAAAAACAGCCAACATAACAATGTACCAGACTTTAGAAATAGGTAATTGAACAAAATAACTACACTGAGGAAACCTGTTTTCATTTGAATTATCTCAAAAGAGAGAATGAACAATTCAGACTATGTTCACATGAAAACAAATGCATAGGACAGGGTACTAGATCTTCCAAAAATTCCCAGGATAATATCTGCTATGCATGGTGCTTGAGTACGACACAACGATAGCTGGGAATAGGGAAGAACTGGAGAGATCTGTGTGACAAACTCCTTTTGGCTAAGGATGGCCCTCCCAGTTTTTATGAGTCTTTGCTCATTTTGTTTAGTTTTCCAATTTAACAATTGCTTTTAAGATAGAGAAATGAACAAAGAAAAATGTCATCCATGATTACTACACCCAGAATGTTCTACTATTAACAACTTGGCATATTTACTTCCATTCATTTTTTTCTTTGAATAAAAGTTACTCGTTTGTTTTTGTAAATGCATCTTCATTATAAATAACTTATTTTAATATAGAAAAGATGGAGGTTTTTAAATGACTTCAGATCCTTCTGCTGAAAAATAACTATTACTAAATGTGAGTGGTCTTAGTCCAGGGACCTTTTTATATGCATGTGGATGATGATGGATGGATGGAGATACATTTTGTTGAATCTGAGTCATGCTTTCTTTTTTCCATATTTTTGACATCTTTAAAATCAATATGCATTTTATAGTCCATGCGTCCTAGTTACATTGTCAGTGATTTGTCTTTCTTAGTGGTATGTAAAATAGTGGTACATCTCACAAGTGTAATGCCTCAGATATTATGAAAGAAGGTATGTGAATAGGAAGAATCCTACTATAATTGCTCTTTTTAATTTTTTTAAAAAGTACTAAGTTTCACTTAAGTTAGCTGGAGAAAAATAAACCACAAAGACGCTAAATGAATTTTTTTTTTTACTCTAAGAGATGTTTATTTACTATAAATTCCCTCTGAGGTTAAGAAAAAGTATTATGAAACATGTTAAAAAGAGTTATTTTGTTGGTATCTTTTAAAAAGCCCTATGTTTCAGTTATCAGCTCTGTAGCTTGGCCTCCTATGGGAGATGAGACAGACGATCAGTACCCTCCAGTATTCCTAGGTGGGGTGTTGGGTATACTGATATTTTCCGTTGTCCAGGTTTATCTGGTCCCATGTGGTCCCAGGACCGTAATTCCCATGTTGATCGATATAAGTTGAGTATTTATATTGGTTCATTGTCACCACCAGTCCAAGAAGTCACCCATGCTTTTCTGTAGCCTGAGGGAATGGCAGAAAGAAGAGATAAATCTCAGCTGGGGTCACAAACAACCTCTGTTTGGATACGTTGACCCAGCTTCTTAGAGTCTATAAATACCCTATTCTGGGGTTTCTGCTGCACAAGTAGGGAGAGGCTGTAATCCATTCTCACTGGCTTAATTCAGAAGCCAGCCCTCAAGACCTCACCCCATTAGATAGTCAGCATCATTCTCTCCGTTTGTTTTTTTTTTGTCACTTTACTGAGGTATAATTTATTTATGTAAAGTAAAATTTACCAATTTTAGCTGCACAGTGGCTCTGAAAAATCGATTTAGTTGTGCATCCCACCACAGTGGTGATGGAGCGTTTCAACCACTGCTGGAAGTTCCCTGGTGCCCTCTTGCAGTGAACACCCACCTGGCCATTACTAGTCCTATTTCTGTTTCTAAAGTGTCACCTGTTCCAGAATGTCATATAAATGGACTTAACATAGTGTATAGTCTTTGTGTCTGGCCTCTTTCCTTTAGCATAAATGCATTTGAGATTCCTTCAACTTGATATATGCTTCAGTAATCCATTCCTCTTTATTCACAAATGGTATTCTACTTTATGTGTGTACCACACTTTGTTTATACATTCACCAGTTGATACACATTTGGGTTGTTTCCAGTTTTTAGATATTATGAATAGGTTGCAATGAATATGAAGTCTTTGTGCTGGCATATGTTTTTATTTTTCTTGGGTTAATACCCATGAGTGGAATGCTGTGTCATATAGTGTGTGTGTCAGACTTTATAACAGATTACCAAATTTCTTTACAAACTGTTCCATTTGCATCCCCACTCTATTATGAGTTTCATTTACTCCACATCTTTGTCAACATTTGCTATTGCCAGTTTAGCCAATCTACTAAGTGTAGGGAAGTTGAGAATTTTTTCATTTGGGATTTTTTCTTTGTTTGTTTTTAATTTTTTTTTTAAATTATGATGGGCCTTTATTTTCTTTGCTTCTTCTGCTTAAGGTTTGTTGAGATTCTTCTATTTATGGGTTTATAGTTTTCATCAAATGTGAAAAATTTTCAGCCACTCCTTCTTTAAATATTTTTTTCCATCTTAACTTTTCTCATCTCTCCTTCTGTATCTTCAATTATACATATACACTGCTTGATATTACTCTAAAAGTCACCAGTGCACTGTTCATTTGTTTTTAGGTCTTTTTTCTGTTTTTGTTTACAGTTTCTATTGCTTTGTCTTCAAGCAGCATTGCTTTATCTTGTATAGCATCTGATCTGCCATTAATCCTATCCAGCGTATTTTTTATTTCAAATTTCCCAGTCCTCTCTTCGTTACTCAATACCCTCTACCTTTTTGAACACATATATTCACAAGAGCTGCTGGAGAGCCCCCCAACCACTCTGCCCCTCACTTTCCAGCCACCTCACCTCCCTGAACTCCACCTCGATCTCCTTGGCTTGGGGATTGCTGGGCTCTGTGTGGGTATCTGCCCTGCAGCCTGGAAACTCTCCAGGCAGGGAGCCTTCTCTCTCAGGCTCACTGTCCTGCACCATCTGGAGTCCTGGTCCTGTGTATTGTGTCTGTTTTCTAGTTGTGAATCATCCCTGTTCCTAGCTTTTCCTGTGCCACTGCTTTCTAACACACCCCATCCCATCATCAAACAGAAGTAAAAAGAGAAAGACACTCCATTTGTATCACTCCAGGTTGGCTGGCAGAGTTGTCAGGATTTCTGAGTTGTTGTCTGCATCCTGGGATTCTAGGACTTCATTAAATTATGTTATACCCTTTTCTTTGGTTGCTGCTTTGTGTGTGTCTGTGTGTGTGTGTGTGCGTGCGTGCGTGTGTCTTGGCAATTTTACTCTTTTTGCTCATTTCATCAGGAATGTGGGAAGGAAATTCTGTAATGCATTTTCAACCTACCAGCTTAATTAAGACATTCCTCTCCCTTTATTTTCCATTTGCTAAAGTAGTCACTGTACTAGTGATAATATTCACTGTTTCTATTTAGTACCCTTCTTAAAATGGTAGGCTCTCAGAGTAGAAGAGTCCTGTTTCCTCTGGCCTGTTTTGGTTAAAAGGAGCAGAACTTCACTTTGTCCAGCTCAGAGGAAGGGTGGCTTACACAAGGGT